TAATAGTAGGGAGTTTAAGAAAACCACAACAGCAACGGTAACATCGCTAAACAAAAGGTTTAATGAGCAGATCAGTGGCTGTGCATGTGCGTTATATATTGTGGTACATTTTTTTGCTGTCCTCTGCAAAACAACAATGCTAGTTAACCAAATTCTGCATTGTGTGGAGATTGGAACCACGATGGCTAAAATTAATTATTTTTATTACAGATTTATTACTGTGTCCCAGATTCAAATTCTTGATAGTTTTGACAGAGAGAAACAAATTAAATGACTTCAGAGTGTCACCAAATTCGTAGGCAAAATATAAGTTAATTTTTTAAATCGACATTGTCCTCAACATTGTCATAGTTACTTAACCTCCCTAATGTCAAATTCACTGGCACTGTGACAGTAAGGTTTTGTACTCCAGAATATGAAACATTGTGTTTCATCAGGCAAATTGACTAGAGGTGAAGGTGATTTTGTCTTCCTAGTTTGACCATCTGGAGGAAGGTTTTTCTTATAAAAAAGTTTGCCTACCTGTGAAAACCAATAATTGGTTAATGAAAAAAATTACTGTTAATAATGACTCCTGAACAGTCTAATTACCAATACACTACCATGCCTCCTTACAGCATGGTTGATTAATTTTTTGTTTGTTTGTTTCTTTTTTCTCAGACCAAGATAGAGTCTGTGAATACAACATGAAACTCATGGATATTGACAGTGAGCATTTAGGAATACCAGTGAGTAGAGCTGGCTGTTGTACACCTAGCATTGCAGGGCAGAATTTTTTTAAATCGTTATTAAGTGCTAATTTATCCCCTCCGGTAGAGCAATTTACCAGTAACTTAGCATCTATCTAATTCCACTTCCTTAGACAGTTTGATAAAGAAATATGAAAGAAAGTGTATATATATTTGTCAAAGTCAGAGTATTGATTTTTAGTAGGAAATGTCATAGATTTGTTTGTACTTGTAGTTTTACATGCCAGGGACAATTAACAGTAACCAGCTGACAGTGGAAATCACCATCTTCCCAGTCTCAGTTGACTACTCAACAGGCCCATATGTCTGATTCTTTAGGAAATGACGGCAAAATGTCTCTTACTCCAACAGAATGCTGACAACCCTGTACATGTTCGTGTACATGCCCCCTTCATACCCCTTCCCCCTAAAAACATAGGTTCATTCATTTAGCATGATGTAACTAGTGACATCAACATAATGAAGTTTTTTCTTCAAAGCTTGAACTTGGAATTGCAAGATGCATCCTCGTAATGATCAGTTGCTATTTTACTTTTCATATAGTAAATGGTTTGAACCCAAGAGTATCAGTAGTTCTTATAGTGTGATTGTCCAACAACAGTTCTTTTCAGAACTACCCTCACCCGGAAGATCACACTATACAAATTACTTTTTCTATGTTTAGGACCAAGAGTACGATGCTGTTGTGACAATGCCCTCATCAGAGTTCCAGAGAATATGCCGTGACCTGACTCAGATTGGTGACTCAGTAAAAATCCACTGCACAAAGGAAGGTGTGAAGTTCTCAGCCAGTGGAGACCTTGGTGATGGAAATGTCCTCCTTAAACAAAGTTCCAGTGTTGACAAAGAAGAGGAACAGGTCTGAATTCTGTTTTAGTCATCCTTATTTTCAACTACATGTAACTGTACTAATAACTTCAAGGCTTCTTTTTAAGGCTTTTTTGTGAGCTTGTTTTTGGTGCCAGGGAGGGTTGCATTTCAAAATTGTTAGGGTTTATTTGGAAGAGACTTTGTACAATGTATGTCAAAAATTTAAATGTGCTTGTGAGAATACCACTTGGTATAACACTAACGATAATGATACATATATGAA